AATGTATTCCTCGAGATACTAATGTATCTACATTAGTATCTCATTAGTATCAGTGCTTGGGGGAGTGTCGTCGAACTCGTGGGCTGATATTGTTCCCTGTGATGGGAACATTGTCCGCCTCCTCAATCAAGGTACCTAAAGCCTCAAAAACATTCGATGTCTTGATTGTCTTTCCCTTACCTGTTGGTATGGGGGGAGTTTGGCCTACTACCATCTTCCTTCTCTTTCGGGTGGATGTGGATGCTCAGGAGATAAGATGTGATACCGATGTAAGTGGGGTTGTTCTCCCAAGACCAGCTAGAGGGACACTAATCTGGACCGGTAGTGGTCGAGAGGGAGCACGCGAGCTCTGTATGGGAGGGCGGCTAGGTATAGTCTTTCCTGCCTCAGTGATATAATCATCATATGACATAGGTGATAAATAAATCACAGTAGACTCTAAAGATGACGAGGTGGTCTTATGTCGACAAGTGTGGATAGTGTGTCCAAACACTATGCAATGGATACAAAAATGAGGTAGTCTCTCATATATAACTGTTTAATAGATCTTCTCATCCCCATTCTGCACAATGATCATGCGTTGAAGTGGGGCCAAGAGGTCTATCTCTACACATACTCGTGCATAACCTGGGCGGTTAAACATTTTAACGTCTGGATCTAGGCGTATAAATGTATCGACGGCATTCACCAAAGACTCAAGTGCCTTAGGCGTGAATAAATGTGCTAGTAGACTAGGAAAACCTATCCAAATTGGGATGGAGTGCGGTTGTTTTCCTCGAGAAAGACTGTCTGTCAATGGGGTCCATCTATATGTATGCATAATGGTATCTTGAATCTCTCATGTGGTCCTACTCTAAGCTTTCTGATAGTCAGCCTCGAGCTCAAAATGGATAAAGACGTTCTAATAATCATGGGCACCGATGACTACCTTACCTTGAAAATGTCCTAGGGCCAAATAGATCCTATAAATATCATCTAGGTGGGGACATTTCGTAGAGAAGCGCCCTATCAATGAAAATTGGAAGGCCTCCGCCAGTTGGGAGACCTACTTCGAAGAAAATGAGACTATTCTCATTCCCCCTTCATCAGTGTAACCCTGTGACGGTATTCCATCAACATAAGTGGGGTGTAACTCGCGTCTCGGTGTATTTTCCACTGTAGGAGTGGGCTGTTGTCCTACTAGTCGTTGGGCCCAAGACTTGGCTTGGGCCTAGGTGGGCTGGGTTAGCTTGGCGTGGGCTTGAGCAGCTCTGGTTTCAGCGGTTTGGGCCAGTAGGTCTGGGGCCTGGGTGGGCTGTGCTTGGGTGTGCTGGGCCAGCTCGGTCTGGGCCTAAGCGGCCTGGACCTGAGCGGTCCGGGCCTGAGCAGCCTGGGCCGTTGGGTCCTGGGTCGGTGGGGCCTGGGCCGGTTTAGTCTGGGCCGGTGGCTGGATCCTAGAAGCTTTGGCCTTCAGACCCTTGGGCTATGCGGTCTTGTCCGGCACGACCGTGCTCCGCACAACCTCGGCCGGCTGGGCCTGAGACTGAGCCGCCACGGCCAGCGTGGCTTCGGCTACTGGGGCCTGCTCCGGCTCAGCCCTGATCTGGGCCAGGACGCCGTGAGCCGGCGCGGTCTGGCCTCCGGTTGTCTAGGTTGCTGCGCCCGCCCTTTCTTACGTAGATGACGTCATGGGCGTCGCACACGAGAGAACGGCGCCCGCAAAAAGTTGCGGCACTGAATCCATTCTGTTGATTTCAATTTCAACGGATGGATTTAAGCTCCCGTTGGTGCCCTCCGTGTCAGCTCTCGCTGACGCAAGCACGGACACCGTAACCGAGGAAACGGCGTCAGCCGCTTGCGGCACCTTTTCCTCTAGTAAATCTAGTCCGGTGATCTGTAAATCAATAGTTGAAATAGCAGGGCCGGCTGGCATCGACGCGATATCTGGGACCGGGGGATCTCCAGCCGACAGAAAATCCTGACCGTCCGTCATTCGACCATTCAGGCGATCGACGGTTCCGATTTTCGGACCGTTGCCAGGCCCAAAGCATGCTTCTTCCCTCAATTTCTCATCGGCCGGACACTGGTCCACCAATGAAAACGATGATTTACTCATCAACGAAGCATCAAAATAAAATGATCAAGAAGGAAAAGCTGTAAATCAAGAAAATACGATTCTACTGATATAAGGATATAATATTTCAGCCAAGTAAATCAGTAGATATTACCCCGAGAATATAACATTTTGAAAAATACCTCTCGAGGGAGAAATTGCGAGACCGAGAGCACCAATCAACCATTTTCCACGTGTGACGACTCGATGATGATGGTTTCTGACCTTGCGAATCGAATGAAACAAGTTTCAGCAGGATCTGAGGTCAGATGGGAGAGATCTCGCCGTTTGAATGTGACGTTGATGAGAGAGAAGCTCCCGCGAGGAGAGAGAAAAAAGTTGAGCAAATGTGACTTATACTCATGATACCTAATCTTATTTGGAACTGTCTCACACTATTGAACTCATCAATAAGCACCAACTAGGCCTCGTCGGGCTTATTGAACCTATGATACCATCAGATCACATTCACCCATTACTTAGACGCATAAGTATGGATCACTTTCATTCTAACCCTACGAACCACATCTGGTTGTTCTGGAAGAGATCATATTCTCTACAACTATTAGTTGAGGGGCCACAACATGTTACGATGAGGGTATTAGGCTCTGGCCAAGAGCTTATATTCTCAATCATTTATGCTTCACATAGACACCAAGATCGTGAGACTCTTTGGGAAGACCTAGTACGATATATGCAGGATTATCCTATACTAGTTGATTCTCCTTGGTTCGTAGTCGAAGATTTCAACAGTGTACATAGAATCGCTGAACGTCAAGGGGAACGAGTTCCTCAAGCTCGTCACATGGAGACGTTCAATGATTTTATTTTTCGCGCGGCCCTCATTGAACCTCCTACTTTTGGCGAGGTTTGGACGTAGTGCAATGAGAGACAAGGAGGTGCAAGGATATATGAGCGCATTAATCGTTGCTTCACTAATAACATTGCAATAGTGCAATGTCTCATATTAGTCACACTCCTACCTCACTATAGGTCAGATCACACGCCGATTCTTATTCTCCCTGACTCGAGAGCTAGTACCCCTAGACCTCTTTTTAGGTTTCAGAATATGTGGACTCGACACGAAGGCTTCCAAAGCTTCGTGCGGAGTCATTGGCATGGAGATATCTCAAACTTTCCTATAGAGAACCTCAGTTACAAATTAAGGAATCTCAAACTTCACCTTAAATGGTGGAACTGGCATGTATACGAGAATATCCACACCCAGGTAGAAGAGTTGAAGAAAGAGCTAACTGGGGTCGAGAGACAACTGCAGGCTCGATGGACTAACGACACTTGGGCCAGACGAGTTCGAGTGAGTGAGCAATTAGAAGAGGCTGCACGACGACAGGAGATATATTATCTCCAAAAATCGCACATCTAGTGGCTACGCGAGGGTGATAGGAACACACGTTTCTTTCATGCCTCGATCGCACACCGATCTCACTCTGATTATATATCTCTTCTAGAGATGTATGATCAGGACACATCTCGTATGCAAGAGGTAGGAATTGCATACCTTTGTACCCTTCTTTCTTCCCAGCCGATTGAGATCTCGGAGGATATACTCTCATCGATTCCATTCTTAATTACCCACCAGGAGATCTCATCCATTATGACCATACCTATTAGGGAGGAGATCAAAGATGTGATCTTCTCAATGAGTAGAAACTGAGCACTTGGGCCTGATGGTTTTCCAGCAGATTTCTATTCAACATGTTGGGACATCGTCGGAACCGATTTAGTTCATGCCATCAAAGAATTCTTCCGCCGCAAAATCTTCCCACGAAGTTGGAAAGCCACCTTTATTGCACTCATATCAAAGGTAGTCAACCCAACTTCTTTTAGAGATTTTCGGCCCATCAATCTTTGTAATGTGTGTTATAAAGTTGTATCCAAGATCATTACAGCACGACTAAGTATTTTTCTTGATAGTCTCATATCTCCAGAGCAGTACAAATTTGTTAAGGGACAGCACATTCATGATAACATCATGTTAGTTCATGAATTAGCACAATCCCTTGACCAGGACATCCGTGGTTCTAATGTCATCATCAAATTAGACATGAAAAAGGCTTTTGATAAGATCGAGTGGAATTTTCTTACCAAAGTGCTTTGACGCTTCGGATTCACTGACGAATTCATTGACCTGATCGATGCATGCATTAGGGAGAACTATTTCTCCCTATTGGTGAACAACACTTCCACACCTTTCTTCACAGCCACGAGAGGGTTACAGCATGGTGATCCCCTATCACCCACTCTCTTTATATTGGTTGAAGAAGTCCTTAGTCGAACCCTCTCCCGAGTGGTGACACGTGGGCTTATCCAACCATATCATTCGAAGAGGGGTTGCCCAATGATATCGCATTCTTTGTTTGTTGATGATGCGATACTTTTCCTTAATGGGTGTGAAGCATCTATCAAGGGACTCGTGACTATCATCTCGAGCTACGAGCGGGCCGTAGGTCAACTCGTCAATGCCTCGAAGAGTAGCTTTATGGTTACATCTTCTGCCACCATTAGCACCATACGACGCATACAAAACCTAATAGGGTTCTCGCGTGGTCATCTACCCTTTGATTACCTTGGATGCCCCATCTTCCTCGGACGATCTGTGAGGCGGATTTATACCTCCTTCTTATGGGATGGTCAACTCGACGGGCCTCATTGTCAATGTCTAGTTTCCTGAGAAAAAGCATGTTGACCGATGGATGAGGGTGGCCTAGGGATTAGACGCCCTAAGGATATCCTTGATATGCTTCAAAAGAAACTCGTACGGCGGATGAGGACGACGAGATCACCCTTAGGGACCTTTGTACTGGCCAAATACGAGAATTGGGCTAGCCAACTTACCGACATAAAAGGAGGAAAACGATGGGTAGATTGGCAAAGACATTGGTTGCAGATGAGGCCTTTAATCCGATGGCGAGTGGGACGAGGCACTATCAGTGCTTGGTATGACACTTGGCATGCAGATACTCCCTTGGCCTCCTCTACCTCTTTTATGCCATCCTGGCCTCATCTTACGGTGGCTCAACTTCTTGATGGAGATACTAATGTATTCCTCGAGAGGCACGGACTCTCATTAGATTTACTACCAGAGATCTCGTTAATAGAGTTGGGCCCTAGTGATGATTATTCGATCTGGACTCTTACCTTAGATGGACGTTTTTCTTATAGTTCTTCTTAAAATTACTTTAGAAATCACTCTACAAAATAGTTTTGGGGAGATCTCATTTGGCACCCTACTATCGTACCTCGAGTCTCTTTTTTTATGTGGAAATTGACACACTGTGGACTTTCTACAAATGATCGTATATCCATCACAGGACATAACATCTGCTCTAAGTGTCATTATTGTCCCATCACTCCGAGAAATGAAACTATGGGCCAATTATTTTTTCATAGTGTTATTGCTACGAAATGTTGGAACCAACTCTTATTGAATTGGTCCCTAGCATTTCATATTTCTCCTTCTTACACCACTAGAGATTTTCAGGAGAGTCTTTGATTCGCCGCAAAGCTCTAGGGGCAGCCCCTACCTACGTATTTCCATAGCATATATGTTATGGGAGATATAGAAAGGGCAAAATCTCTCTTATTTTGCAGGTCAATAGATGCGCGCACCAAAGATCATGAGACACGTCACACAATGGCTGAGAAGTACCCATCCTTTGGTGTCGCCTTCAGCGACATGTTCGGCCTCAATCTGTGAGGCCCTTAGGACCTGGGGAGTCCAAGCCACGCCTACGCATATAGAAATCTCCACTCGAGTCATCCGATAGAGACTGCCACCAGTTGGACACCTAAAGTTGAACGTCGATGGAGCAGCCCGAGGGAACCCTGAACCTGTAGGAGGAAGAGGCATCTTACGGGATCCTACGGGGAGTATTATCTTTGCCTTTTCTTATTTTTATAACATTCAAACTAACACTGCAGCAGAGGCTATGGCGATACGTGATGGTTTGCTCCTCTGTGAGGAACGCAATCTCCATGATATCGTCATAGAATCTGACTCACGAGTGCTTGTTCAGATGCTACGTGCAGGTTCTTGTTCACATTGGTAGCTTCAGAGTACTTGGATCGACATCATGCATTGTAGAGCAAGGATCACCGCCATTACACACCAGTTACAAGAAGGGAACCAAACAGCAAACACGCTTATTACACATGCAGTATGCACTCATTTGTGCTATGTATTCTCCTCTTGGCAAGAGATGTCACCTGAAGCTCGAGGTCAACATCACTTGGAGCAGATCGGTATGCCAGCACTTCGTATACGGCAAACACGAAGACCTGTCGCCCCCCGACAGTGGCGGATCACTTGGGCCAACCCCTAGCCAGCACACGACCTGGCGTACACAGCACCACAACCCACACATCTATCCTCCCATTGTGGATCGGAAGATTTCGCAAAAGTTTCAACCGAGATGATCAACCTCGGTCGCATCTACCACTTCATCTTTGACTTACCACTTTTCAAAGAGAGCTATCTCTTATCTTTCCTAGATCTCATGTATGAGGCCTAGGGATAAACATTATCTCAACATTAATATAATCGAATCTTCATTTTTTTTTAAAAAAAAAAACCCTAAACCCTAAACAACCCCCCTTAGTGGGAGAGTTGCCACCGGATCCCATAAGAACTCTGGAGTTAAGTGTGCTCGGGTGGGAGTAGTCCCTGAATGGGTGACCTCCTTGTGAAGTCCCATGTGCATGTGTTGCGAAACACTTGTTGTGCATGTGTTGAAAGGCACCACTGCATGATCGTGCTGCCTAGCACGTGTTACGAACCCCTCCGTCACCATGTCAAGATGCTTTGTGCATCAAAGAATGTGCCAAGAGGCACCTTTGCCACCACGTCGAGAGGCATATGTGGCATCCATCTCACCATGTCAAGATGCCCCCAGCTCTGAAGAAAGTACCGAGAGGCACCCTTGCCACCACGTCGAGAGGCATATGTGGCATCCATCTCACCATGTCTAGACGCCTCCAGCTGCGAAGAACGTGCCGAGAGGCATATATGTGGCATCCATCTCACCATGTCAAAACGCCTTCAGCTGCGAAGAACGTGCCGAGAGGCATATATGTGGCATCCATCTCACCATACCAAGGTGCCCCCAGCTCCAAAGAACATGCCGAGAGGCACCGCTGCCATGATGTTGAGAGGCGCAAGTGGCATCTATCTCCGAAGAATGTGCCTGAGAGGCACCAAAGTGCTTGGGCGTGTGAAGTACCGGGATGGGTGACCTCCCAAGAAGTTCGGCCCAAGACAGTTATCAAAAAAAAAAAAACCCTAAACCCAACCCCCCTTAGTGGGAGAGTTGCCACCGGATCTCATAAGAACTCTGGAGTGTGCCGAGAGGCACCTTTGCCACCATGCCGAGAGGCATATATGTGGCATCGGCCCAAGAGAGTTATATTCCAAAAAAAAAAAAAACTCCTAAACCCTAAACCCTAATAACCCCCCTTAGTGGGAGAGTTGCCACCAGATCCCATAAGAACTCCGGAGTTAAGTGTGCTTGGGTGGGAGTAGTTCCCAGATGGGTGACCTCCCTAGGAAGTCCTCGAGTACGTGTGCATGCGTTGCGAGACGCTTGCTGTGCATGTGCTGAAAGGCACCGCTGCATGATCGTGCTGCCCAACACGTGTTGCAAACCTTTATGTCACCATGCCAAGATGCCCCTTCTCTAAAGAACGTGCCGAGAGGCACCCCTGCCACCATGCCGAGAGGCATATGTGGCATCCATCTCACTATGCCAAGATGCCCCCAATTGTGAAGAATGTGCTGAGAGGCACCCCTGCCACCATGCCAAGAGGCATATATGTGGCATCCATCTCACCATGCCAAGATGCCCCCAGCTCCAAAGAAACGTGCCGAGAGGCACCCCTACCACGATGTCAAGAGGTGCAAGTGGCATCTATCTCCGAAGAATGTGCCTGAGAGGCACCAAAGTGTTTGTGCGTGTAAAGTACCGGGATGGGTGACCTCTTGAGAAGTTCGGCCCAAGACAATTATCAAAAAAAAAAAAAACCCTAAACCCTAAACCCTTTTGGGCTTTGGGGACTCCATATCATATTTACATAGACCTGGACTACTATTCGATCTGTTAGATGGACACCACCGAGGGCTGGACAGTGGAAACTCAACGTCGACGGAACATCTCAAGATAACTCAAGACCATCTGGAGGAGGAGGTATCTTACGTGATAGTACAAGATGCATTCTCTTTGCTTTTTCGAACTTTTATAATATACAAATTAATACTATGGCAGAGGCTATGGTAATACGGGATGATTTGCTTCTTTGTGAGGAGCAAAATATTACTAATATTATCTTAGAATCTGATTCCAAAGTGTTAGTAGACATGTTACGTGTAGACTCTTGTCCTTATTGGAGGCTCAAGAATATGTGGGCAGAATCATGCAATGTCGAGGATGCATCACAACCATTACGCATCAGTTCTGAGAAGGGAATCAGACAATTGACGCCCTTGCTATGCATGGAGTCAGATCGCGTCGGAGGATAGTCTTCTCTTTTTGGCAGGACATGCCTCTCAAAGCCCGAGGTGCTCATAGACTTAAGCAACTCGGCATACCCTCTTTACGCATACACCGCACTCCACTACCAGCCCTTCCACGGTAGTTGTGTATTGCTTGGAGGAGATTAGGGGTGGTTACTATTGGCCGCTGAAGACCACAATGGAGATATAGCACAAGACAGACAACAAGGCACATCGTAATCCACTCGGGTACACTACTTCCAATCATTACTCTCCTCATAATCACCTCACATCTACTATCTATCACCCTCAAGCAGTGAGGACATAGAACTATTAGCACATGTTGGCATTTGTCCACTTTTGAACTATAGGTCTATAGCACATCAAACCTGCCAAACTAGTTGTGAATCGCCAACCTAGCACCTCTCTCAAGATCTCATTAGTACCATCAGCCAGCTTGAACCCATGAGAAGGTAAGGATCTATATCCATAAGATTGACCCTCTCTCCTCTCTCTCTTTCTCTCGATTCTCTATTTCTTTCTCCCTCCTTTTCTCTCTCTTGAAAAAAAAAAAAAAAGAGACAGCCTACTTCTTTTTCTAGAATCACTAGCCCATCATAGACAATTAGTGGAAGGTGAGGGAAAGGGCCCTCAAAAAAAAAAAAAAAAAAAAAAGTGGGCAACCTTCTTCCCTTGCCCTAATCACTAACCTAATACTCCAAAAGGAATTACCCTTGTACACCAAATAATGGGCATTAGTGGAGGGTAAAAGAAGCGGCTCTCAAGGAGAGAGAAAGAAGAGAGAGAAAATAAGAGAAAAGAAAAGAGTTAGAAACAAAGACCAAGTCATTCCTTGTGGGGTGAAAGGTCTCTTACCTACTTAGAGGAAGTACGGCAACTGATGGTACTAACAAGATCTTGGCCAGAGGGATTAGACACGTGCAACACTAGGAAGGCAAGTTCATATTTGAGCTTATTGTCATGCTGCAGCATAGTTTTATCCTCCTCACTACCCTAACCACTCTTTTCTCACTACTTTATATCATTTTTATTTATTTCTTAGAACCACTTACTACATCAAATTCTTGTCTTACAGGAACACCTCATGGCACACAACATGGAGGTCTACACGTCCTACTATTGTTGAGCAGATCTTTCAACTTTCATGAACTCAAAGGCTCCTTCAGCCCAATACAAATCAACCGCCTTCTTCAAATATGATGAGCACACTAGAGTCTATCTCTAGTATTATCACATCCCCTCTTCAAAAGAGGTCTTTAATTCTCCATGTCATCCTCGCCCCTTGTGCAAATGAGATCTCACTTATGTAACCTCTGAATGAGGTCAAACTTTTATCACTAAATCAAATTTTCTTTCTTAAAAAAAAAAAAACCCTAAATCTTAAACCCCCATTAGTGGGAGAGTTGCCATCAGATCTCATAAGAACTCTAGAGTTAAGCGTGCTCGGGTGGGAGCAATCCTTGGATGGTGACCTCCTTGGGAAGTCCTCGAGTACGTGTGCATGAGAGCCACAAGTGGCATCTATCTTCAAAGAATGTGCCTGAGAGGCACCAAAGTGCTTGGGCGTGTGAAGTATCAGGATGGGTGACCTCTCGAGAAGTTCGACCCAAGACAATTATCCAAAAAAAGTTGTAAGTCTTTACACAGGCCCGATGGTTTTCTAGTTGATTTTTACATTTCATATTGGGATATCGTTGGCACTGATCTCATCTAGGCTATCAAGGAAATCTTTCGTCGTAAAGTCCTTACACAAAGTTGGAAGGCCACCTTTCTTGCACTTATATCAAAGGTGACTACCCCAACCTCATTTAGAGACTTTCGACCTATCAATTTATGTAACTTTATGTTATAAAGTTGTATCTAAGATCATTACACATAGATTGAGTAGTTTCCATGATAGACTTATATCTCCAGAGCAGTGCAGATTTGTCAAGGGACGGTACATTCAAGGTAACATCATGCTAGTACATGAACTAGCACAGTCTCTTGGCTAAAGGAAAAAACTTCCAAGTTAAGTTGCTCCACCAAAAAAGCCAGAAGGCACCTGCTCTATGCATGTGTTGTGAGGCACCTACTCTATTTGTCCGTATGTGCCACAAGGCACCCTTGCACTAACACACCACAAGGCACCCTAATCATGTATTAGTTGTTAGTTTTAATGCATGCATATTTAACAACATTTATAACTCAACTCTCTAAATAAAGTATATTATTAGGGCAAGTTCAGGTTGATCCTCAAGGATGGTGAAAACTAGTTTTGATGAATTTCTAATTTTTCTAATGCAAACATTAACTAAAAAGAAAAGAACAAAATGAAATATGATGAGATAAGTAATAAAAAATGTTCTTCAATACTTCATATATTTCTTCTGCAATTAATTTCATGTTTTAATTCTCTCGTCAGCTCTAGATAATAAGAAATGGGGTTTAAATGATGAGATGATTAAATCACAAATAGAGAAAAATAGATTAGAGATTATGATGTAGAAATATGAGAATAGTGATTGTCAATAAAATGACTTCTATTATTGTGAAGAATTATTTGAAATAATTAAAAGTAAAATATAAAATACATTAAATTAAATATAATACATAAATACCTTATTTTTCAATCAAATAACTAAACTAACTAAATTCGTGATCAAAAAATGAATTCTAAAACTAAAATTGGACTTTGCTATTCATCACATACCAAAGTCCTATAGAACTAAGAAAGTTTTAAATTAAAATATAAAAGCTAAATTAAACCTTGTAAATTCAAGTATAACTCTTTTTCTTTCCTTGTTTGTCACCCAAAGATGATAAAAGAGATTGCAAGCAATTATAATAAAGAATTTAACTAAACTCATAATGATGAAGACTCTGAAAAAAAACCAAACCTCTCTCATCTCCTTATCTATCACCCAAGAAAATGAGAAGAAAGAAATGTGTAAATTAGATAAATTCAAAAATAAGTTATCTTTTATCAATGTCTATCACCCAAAGAATGGAAAGAGAAATGAAATAAAAAATAATTAAAACTAAAATCGTAAAGAATTTTATTGATTACCAGCCACCTTGTTTTGAGATCCCCTTTATTCCCTTGCTCTCCAGCCTCATTCCCTACCTTCCAGCCTCCTACCCTCTAGACAACCATCCTCCTTTGTCCCCTAGAGAAGTGAGGAGCCTCCTTTCCTATTCCTCAAAACATAAAATCTCTCATTTTGTATTGATTTAACTATTT